AGTGAAATTCAAGATCACTCACCAACCTTTTTCAAACTTCTGACCATGAACCACATTAAGTTTACATGGCTTTCCAAGTTGCATAGGCACACACATCTATCTAGAAACGTGTTTAGATTTAGCCTGATTACATGGGCTATGTTCTGATATGTCCTCTTCTGTTATGTTTGTGGCTGTGACCCATTGAATTGATTTTCTTTTTCCTTTCTTGGTACTAGGAATTTAATTCAAGGTCCACGCACTAAAATACATTCCCAGCCCTTTTTAAATTTTTTTTTTTTTGAGACAGGGTCTCACTAAGTTACTAAATTGTCCTGGCTGGGTCAAACTTGAGGAGGCAATCCTCCTGCCTCAGTCTCTCAGAGTACTGGGATCACAAGAGTTCAGCCAAGATTGAATTGATTTTGTGACATACTTACAGCTGGACACACCAGCTGTTTTAGACCAATCCTCCCTCCACAGAGCAGGCCCTGGCCTCAGTGAGGGTCACCAAGTGCCACCATGGGGGGCACCTACCGTTAAAGAGGAGAAAGCAGGGTCCTCTGACCAATTTAAAGTAAAGGGGTCAGGATGGACCCAGGCAACCATCAACGGGTCCATTTTCCCAAGTTGCCAGGCAAGACTGGGCCATTCACTGGGACCGGCCCTATTCGATTTCTGCCATAGCCAGATGCGCCTGGCCAGATGCAAGACAGCGAGGATCCAGGCTACTCCGAAGTCCGCCAGGTCTAGCGGAAAGACACTGCCAGAGCACGTGCGTCTACTTTGCCCTCGGTCCCGGGGGTCGCAGTCCCGAAGGTCCTCCGAGGGCGCTATCGCCCCAAACTGGCTCCGCCCAAGCCGAGCGACCCAGAAAGCTGTCGGAGCTGGGCAGTGGGGCCCACTGGTCGTCACGCGGGCTGCGTGGAAGAAGCAGGACCCTGGAGCCGTGTGCACCCCACTGCTGGGCCTGCGCGCATAGCGGTGCCGGGAGGTTGCTGGGGGTGCTCGGGCTCTGCTGGAGCGGGAGGCCGCGCAGGCCAGGCCCCAGCTCCCTGAGGCAATGCGGCCCGGGGGTGGCAGCGCCGCGGCCTGTAGGCACCCAGTCGTCGCTGACGGCCAACAGCGAGAAGCCCCCTCGCAGGGCGGCCAGAGCCTCGGGGGCGAGGCTGTGCGCACCGGGTTCCCGGGGGGCCGGCCGGGCCCGCGTCTTGGCGCGCAGCTCATCAGCCACCGCCAGCTGCGTGTGGTGCGGCCTCTCTGGGTGGTAGAACTTGCACTTGATGCCATAGGTGCATTTCTTGCCTGGAAGGAACAGAGCAGAGACGGTGCAGAGTGAGACCTGATGCCTGGACAGGACTGCGGTTCCAGCAGTTCGGGGCCTTGGCCCCTCCTTGTGGAGCTTTCTTCCAGAACCCCAAAGAAAAGCCTGGGGTCTGGGCGCCTGGCAGAGGTGAGAAGCACCATGGGCCACTTGCAGGATGAGCAGCAGTGCTCTGAGTGCAGTAACTCCCAAGCAGGTCAGTGAAAGAGCTGCCTAGAAGGTCAGCGGGGATAAAATCCTCTTAATGGGTAATGGTAGAGTTAGGGGGAACAGTGGAACAGGATGGGGACACAGTGAAATGGCTGAGAACTGGACCCAGGGGTGCATGGCACAGCCTGTACCCATGTGTGACTCCAGCACCCAGCCCCAACACTCCCATGCAACAGTGTTTAGGACGTCAGTTCATCCTTACAGCAGCCTGACCAGAAACTGCAGTCCAGAAAGGTTAAGTTACCTCTCTGGGGGCATACAGCTGGTCAAGGGCAGAACTTGGGAGGAATCCCTGGCTGCTGACTGCCAGACCAGCGATTTTGACTGTGCCCCTGTGCTGCCCTTACCAGTACCTGAACAGGATTCAGAAGGCCCTGTGTACTACCCACCATAGGGGCAGTGCTGCCAGGATGGCTCTGGGGGCCTCGGCCTCCTGCTCAGGAAGTTGCTCAGGGTGGGTCCATGGCGGCCCAGGGGATCATCAGGAGGCATGAACCTAGGAAATAAGCACAGAGGGGTGACTGCCAAACCAAAAGGGACTCGCCACGGGCTTCTGTATGGAGCTGGGGATACAGGCCCAGGCCATTCAAGGCCCCAGTGGCATGGACCATCACCCAGGGCAGGTGTCATAACATCTGAACAGCTCCACTCCCTTCACTCTGAGCCCATGAACACAGCACAGCCCTGCCATTCCCCAGACTTCCTTCCCGTGTGGTGCAAGCCAGAAGGCACAGAATCACCTAGCAACTGGTTATAGACTCAGCCTCGGACTTCACACACACTTGCTTAGTCAGCATCTGAAGCTCTTCGGAAATTTACATTTTAACAATTTCCCAAGTGATTTTTATCCAGGAAAACTGAAGTATAACCTTTCCACCTCCACTCTCCAATTCCCCATTGTCCTCATAGGTTAAGAACCTCTGTGGAGTTAACAGACAGCTCCTAGAAGGATGGTGGGCTGTATGAACTCCTAGAGGGTTAGGCCCCTTTCTCCTGTGTGCCTCACCCCACGCAGAACCCAACTCAGGACATACGCAGGGGAGGGCTCAGCGCTGACAGTTGGAAGCACCAGCCAGTGCCTCAGTGAAGCAGATGAAAGCAGCCAGCCCACAGTGCCAAAGCACCAACATGGTCCCTCCTCACCAAACCCAGGGGTTCTGAGCACTGTCTCAGCTTCCCTGCCCCTACACATGTGGTTCTCTGACAGCAGCCTGCCCCACCTCCTCCCTGTCACAGAGCCCTGACATGGAAGAGAATTCATATTCAGGGTGCTCAGGGATCAAAGGGAAAAATTAAGTGTCTCAGGATGAAAACTCCCCTGTTTAGTGAGATCTATATTTTCAAATGAATACTTTTATTCTCAGGAGACTCTCCTAGGCCATACAAAGGTTCTGCTGAAGAGCAGTGGATTCTAAATGGGGGCGAGGCTGTTTTATGGGTTGCTATCCCTCCAAGAGTCACAGAGTCATGATGAGGTCCTGCCCTGCAGAGAGCTGGGCGGTCCTGGCCCAGGGAGGTCTCCATGGCTCAGCATCAGGCTCCACAGCTGGTTTCTCAGAGCTGGGCCCTGACCAAAAATCTGGGGAGCCGCTCACTACAGTTATTAAAAGTTCCCAAAGGCTTCACCTCCTTCTCTCTCAGGAGCAGGAACTATGCCAAGAAGGCCCTGTGGAAGTGCCCGGGCCCAGGGGGGTGGGTGCCCTTGCTCACAGTTGGGCAGTCAGACATGGCCTGGCCACCCTTCAGCAGAGAGCAGTGCCTCCAATAGACTAGGCCTGGACCCTGGCTGTTACCAGGCCAGAAGCAGCCATGACCCTTCAGCCCTCAGTGAGGATTTCTGGAACCCACAGTCACAGGGCTTGCCAGACTTCTAAGGCCAAATCTGGAGAGGGAGAGCAGCTGGTCCTGTGTATCTGGAAATGACAATCTGGTGGTTGCTGGTGAGCATCTGCCCTGGGGCTTAGAAGGCCATCTCCACCCCTTCAGTGACAGTGGTAGGGACAGCAGTGTAACCTGGGGATGCCATGTCCTGGTGTGGCCTTGGAAGAAGTTATCAGTTTAGGGTACAGTTCTCTAGTCTTCACAGTGATTTCACAGGTCCTACTACTTTCAGCCTTGGGTGACTGACTGATGACCATGACCCACTGGCCACTCCAAATGCCAGCTCTTCCTACAGCACCAAATGCCTCCCCAGTTTCAGGGTCGAGAGCTGCCCTGTTGTGAGCAGGTGGCCTCTTCTCCCCTCTCCTCCCTTCACCACCGCCATAGCTGTTCATTCACTCATCTGTGGACTCCTTCACTCCTTCATTCCTGTGACACTGGTTATTCTGAACCAGGTGTGCTTGGACATGGCAGGTAAACAAATACAGTTGCTCCCCTTAAGGAGTAGGGGTGCTTATCTAAACACACATCCCAAAAGACCAGTTGAAGAGCCCAGAATCAGAGCTGAACCACTGCTGCCTGGGACAGTCACTGAAGCAGAAATGATGCCCCTGCTTGCTGTGCCATACCAGTCTGTTCCCCAGACCCATGGCCACCGTGCTGGGCTCCCAAACACAGTGAATGCCCAAGCATATTTGCAGCAGACAAGCTGTCATTTCCTCCCCTTCTTAGCTCAGGGTCAGAACCCTTGTCCAGTGCCTGCTAACAAATTTATGCCTCATGAACCTGACGTCCCTCCCTTCCCCAGCCACAGGCACTTGGTCCAGGGCTGACCTGACTCATGGGACCAACTTTGGGGGCAAGTAGACTGACAGGCCCTCCTAACCATTTCATACAAGAAGTGTGGGGACAGCCATTTTCAGGCAGATTTAAGGTCTTTACCGCCTGAAGAAAAGACTCTCTAGCCCACTCCCATATGTAATTCAAAACTTTTTTTAAACCTAAAATAAATGAAAGGGAATACTACGAAGTCTAGATTTTTTTTCCCATGATGACTATTTCACAGCTCTTATTTGGAGGATTAAATTCTAAAATAAAAGAAGTTTCTGGTGCACTATGCACACACCCTGGCCCACCTGTTGGGAAGTTTTGCCATGAGTCAGCTGGATATGGCCATGGGAACTGCAAGGCCAAGGACTAAACTGCCCTGTGGGTGAAAGGACCCACCAGGAATTTGGTCACCAAAGACAGGAGATCCCGAGCAACAGAAGTGATCATGTGGCCTGGGCAGGCTGAGTGGGTGACAGGCCAGCTCCATCTATAAGGCTGGCTGTGCCCATGTCCCCAACCCCAGCTTTGCCTAGACATGGGAACAGCTTTCTGTTATCACCCCAGCCCTTAATGCCAGGCCCCTTTCCCCATACCTATCATTGACAAAGGAGAACATGAGCAACCTCTGCTCAATGAACCACTTCCACTCAGGGTTCTCGCTCTGCAGGTCTCGGTAGTTGTCATTGGAGACGATGACGCCGTCCTTCTCATAGGCCACTTTCACGATGTAGCGGTCGTCATAGCAGACCACCCGTTTGCCGTTCACCTTGCGGGACGGGGTGTACACAAGCACTGCCTGCCGCTCCAGCTCCTCCAGCACATGCTGCTCTGGGGCCACACACAGAGACTACAGTCAGGGCCATTCTGCACCATTCTTCTCCCACCCTGCCCCAGCCAGTCAGATGGAGGCAGGGGAGGGAGCAGACACCAGTTTCTCCTCCCACTCCTAATGCTCATTTTTCCCCCTAAATTTCACTGAATTTTCTAGCAGCCCGAGGCCAAGCTAGCTTTTGGCTTCTGTCCTGCCTGGGTTAAGACAGAGTCCAGAATATGGTGCCCAGTCTGTGAGAGCACCCTTAGAAGGAAGACTTTAGCCACAGCTCTTGTCCTTTAGAGGGTTACATGCCACCTTGGCCCTACAGTGGTAGACACTGGGGCCTCCTACTGGGGTGGACTTCATGTCTTAACTGGAACCTTGATGATGCCTTAGCCATGACTAGCAGCTTGGCAGCCACCTGGACAGCTCCTGGGTGGGCCCTTCACTGAGAACTATCCCACAGAATCTGCTTGGCCACCTTTGAACTGGAGCCTGCCACAATGGACACCTCTGAGAGACTCGGGAATGTAAGAGGAAGAGTCTAGGATTCCGAATACACAGTCTAGGGGCTGGGGATTTAGCTCAGTGGTTCTGGCGCCTGCCTCGAAAGCACAAGGTCCCAAGTTTGATCCCCAGTACCAAAAAAAAAAAATACCACAATACACAGCCTGGATTCTGAGATGGGCTCCAGTTCCTTAGTCTTCTTTAACATTAGGTGCTACAGTCATCAAATGAGATTGATGACACCTCCCTTACCTATCTCATGTGCTGGTGAGTAGACTGAGCAAGCGCAGGTGTGTGAGAGGTCTCGAAAAAACTAGGAAGGAGGTGGACCTGTGCCAGCTGGTGCAAATATTTCAATGTCTTTCCTAGAAGAGGATACAGTCTCTGTCCTGGGAAGGGCCACGGTTTAATCTTAGATTTGCCTTTGGAGACATGCAAGGAAAATCTCTTCTCCACATAATAATTACCCAGAACTTGAAAAAGTATTAACCTATTCATGTTCATAAATTATTTCTTCCCTCAAGTTTAAGTCCCTTCCAATATGACATGATTTGCAGACTTTAAGAAGATGCAGAACTTATTTTTGGTACAAACTACAATAAAAACATGTCATAAACTTTGAGAAGCGCAAGGTGGGCCGTACTTGTGAAGTTTCTGCTGCCCCTCCCTGTTCACAGTCCTCTCCATTCCCCTTCAGATAACTCACAGTTTAGAGCATAGTGTTTTATAAACTATAATTCCCTTGTTTTAATTGAGAAATACACGTGTATGAGAACCATTTTCAATAGGGTGACACACTGAACTTTGCATGAATGGAATCATACTCTGCATGCACTTATACAACTGTTTTTTTCACTGACCGTGGTTGGTGAAGTTATTTGTCTAATGTTCACTCCAGGCAGTTTGTGAGTAAGCCTCTGGCACAGAAGTCCAAGGAACTCTCTAGAATGTTCCTTAAAAACTCTCTAATAACACTCAATCTTATGAATATAAAGTGCCCTCTTATGGTGGTTTTATTTTGTATTTGTCTGGTTAGAATGAGATTGAATATCTTTGCATAGGTTTATTGGCCATTTATGCTTTCTCTATGAAAGACTCATTCCTGCTTTAGCTCATTTTTCTATTGGTTCATTGTCTTTGTCTCATTAATTTGAAAATGTTCTCCATAAATCTAGATATTAATCTTTACTCAGTAGTATGTGAAGTGGAAAAAAATAGTATGTGATGTATAGTCTGCCCCAGTTTGAGACATGTCTTTTGTTTTTCTTTTTTCTTTTTTTATTTCTTTTGTGATAATTTGTTAATGAACAGAAATTTATTCATCTGTCTCCCATAGGATTGTCCTTTTGACAGCTTGTTTAAAAATTCCTTTCCTACCCCAAAATAATTTTCCTACTGTAGCTATATTATATTTACACATGGAATGACACTAGTCTCCATGTTCATGCCATAAAGAATTATTTGGGGTAACAAGTTCACGGTGGACAACTGAACATATGTGTGCATCCCCCCTTCTTCCCATAAATTCCACTGAAATGACAGCTAAGAGGTACGAAAAGGGGATCCATTATATTAAAAGTTGATTTGGGAACAACAGCAGACCCAGAATTTTGACAAATTCTAGGAGGATGGAAAGCAGAGAGGACCATGCTGACTGTAGAGCAGGGACAGCAGCAGAGCCCAGAGTGTGCACAGAAGTCTGAAGCAGAGCTAGGGACCCTTTTCCCTGTGTAGCCACAAAGCAGTCTAGGCCATGGAGGGGTGAATGCCAGCCTGGGCAGGCTGGATCCCAGGAGGGCTACTCATGGCATGTGCCCAAGGGTGGGAACCTGCACTCACTTCCTATCCCTAAAGTGTAAATAAAGGAAGGAGGAAGCCCCCATCATGTTGCTCCCCTAGAATAAAATTCTCATCATTGTGGCACCGGATATGCAGTGAGCAGAGTTGCCCACTACTTGCCTGCCCCACATGGGGTGTGTGGAAACAGGTCAGCAGCAAGGGTCAGCCCTACAATTCAGGGAAAGGCTCTTATGCCAGGAGAGAAAGCCCAGGGCAGTTGCATAGGGATAGATTATCACCAGACTTCAAAGGGAAAAATTAAGGAGCGAGAGAGAGGGAGAGGAGGAAGGAGAGGGAGTGGGAGGGAAAGAAGGAGGGAGGGAGGGAGAGAGAGAGAGAGAGAAATAGATAGCATTTGTAAAAATAAAGAGAACTTTTTTTAAAAAGTCTATCACTATAGAAATATTCAGGAAAATGCTGCAGCCATAAGACAAGAATAACATTTTTATTTAAAAAATAAAGAAAAGGTAATGGAGACAGAAGAAACCGGTAATCACAGAATTAAAAACAAACCCCAAAGCCAGGCATGGTGGCACATGCCTGTAACAAACAAACTAAAAATCCAGACAAACATAAAAACTGTTGCTAAAAAGACAGGAGGAAAACGCCAAGGAAACTCTGCAGAGTGACAGAGAGGCTGGTGGGCAGGTGTTGCTTTAACTGAAAGGATGCCAACAAAGGCACCTAACTTCTTGTTATCACGGAGCTGAACAAAAACCAAACAAAACTCTGTTGATTTAAACCACCTTGTTCAATTATTTGTTGCTTAAAATAGCCTTAGCTAATATAAGAATTAAAATAAAGAATTTCCTGGGTCTCAATTACCATTTGTTTTAAATGAAGAGATGGGACTGGGTATTCAGTAAACAATAAATATTACCTGGCCGAGTGAATGTCTCTTTCTGATCCCACATACTCCTAGGGTGACATGCACAGCCAATCTTTCTTCAGTGTTAAAAGTTGTAAGACACAGCCCTTTTGAGAACTTAATCATTCACACCAAAAGACTGAGTCATTTATTCATTCATCTATTCAACTATATTTTGAGCATCCACTATATGTCAGGTATTTTTCTAGGGCTGAACAGTCATTGCCAGTGTTTTCATGGAGCTTTTAGCAGACACCACTAAACCAGTCACTAAAAAGATAACAGACCATGACTGGGGAGCATTGCCAAGGAAGAGTACACAGCACCCCTCAAGCATACACCCAACCCAGCATACCTCTGACGGGGGTATCAGATCTGGATGGCTCTTTCCTCCAAGATGGGACAAAAACTTTGATGTAGGTGTGTCCTCTGTCCCTGAACCAGTCTACAGCCAGCTGGATTCCCCGGCAAGAGAAGACTTCTTTACTTCCATGGCTATGACAGAAAGACAAAGTAATTTGAGAAGACCTAAGAAGGGTTCCTTACAGTGATTTCCCCTGGGAATATCTCGGATCACAGTCTCTTTACCAGAAGGAACCAGGTAGATCTGCATTTGAAAGATGATGCCTTCTTTGCACAAATGATAGCCCCTAACTAGAACCAGGAAGCTGGTGGTAAGGACAGAGAGGCACTCTGGCTCCATGGGGAAAATACTCCAAGGAATGGGAGGATAAGAGAGGCTGAGGTAGGGACAGGTTCTTGAGAGCAGAGGGCTCTGCAAAGCCTGGCAGGGAGCAGCCAGCCAGAATCTGGAAGAGGACCATACTTTAAACTTTCCTTACCATGCTTTCTCACAGGTGTGACCTTTCCTGTTATTTTCTCAGGGAGGTTAGGACAGTCATGGGTCTGTGAAGCACTAGTCAATGGTAACGGAACTCAGGCTCTGGGGAGGTACCAGAACTTGCAGAATTCCTTCAGCTTCAATAACAAGTGAGAACCCGGGCTTTTCAGCCTGGTATGGGGCTTCTCCTGGTAAAGGGAACACATTGCTTTGGCCATGAAGGCTGCACTAGGAGACTTGTACAAATATCAAAGAGAAAACACATGTTATTGTACCTAGATGGTCCCCCAAAGCTTCATGCTCTCATAAGTGGAGCTTTTGGGAGCTGGCTGGATCAAGAGTGTGTGATACTTGATTAAGGGTATATGGTACTAAATTCGTCCACTGATTGCTTTAGCATAGTTCTGGGTATGGATAATGGGAAGCCCCACCCTGGGTGTGGGTTTATAGCCTGGATGGGATAAAAGGGAAAGGGAAACTTGCTGCTTGCTGCCTCAATGTCTCCTGCTTGGTTTGCCATGTACTGTTTATCCTCTGCCATGGCCCTCTCCCATGTCACCCTGCCCTGGAGCCAGCTGGCTATGAACTTAAACCTCTACAAACTGTGAGCTGAAATAAACCTTTCCTCTTTTAACTCTGAGTATTAGATATTTTGTCTAAGCAATGAGAAAAATAACTGAGGCAACACTCAAGAAGATAGGAGGTGGAATACTAGTCCCTTCCACCCCAGTAGAAGCTGGAAGTAATGCAGGTGAATGAGGTCACTGCCCCTCACTCCCACTGAGCCCAAAGAGGAGGGGGATGTAGAAGTATCAGTGTGAACAGGAGGCTGAAGTCTGGTTTCCCAGCACAGCCTCATAGGCTGCACATCCTCAGAGAAATTCTAGTTCTGCAGGGCTGGCTTGGAGGAAGTGGTCAGTAGGTGAGCCTGAAACAACACCCAGGTCCTTTGCAGGTCCTAGTCTGACACCTAGGGGTGGACCAATGCCTGCCAGAGAGCAGTTTAAACCAGAATGGCTCCCAGAAATGCCAAAGGGGACCAATGACATTCTCATGTTCATCTGGCCACTCACACCTGAATGAGGCCCAAGAACCCTGTCCCAGCCAATACTAGAGGCCCCAGGGCCTACTTGGGAGAGGACTAGGGGGAGAGAAGGGAAACGAGCTGGAGTCACCCAGAAGACAAGACACAGAGATGCCACCATGCTGGCACCGGCAAATGTCAGGTTGATCCCTTACCTACCTGGAAGCTGGGGGAGAGGTTACCTGTGTCATGGAGGACAAGATAAGCTTTTCTATCCAGCTCACAGCAACACTGAACAATAGGGGCCCCTCCACCCCCAAGCCTGCGTATCTCTCAACTGTAACAATCTAGCCTCAGTCCATTCTCAAGAAATGGCACTGCCACATGATTTTAAAAATTATTTCTTAATTGATCTCTTTCTGGGGCTCTGTTTTAATCACTCAAAAGCCAACTTCCTCTCCCTGACACTTTTATTGGGTGTGTGTTTAAGAGGAGAGAGATATTCAGTAAAAGGGAAAACTAGGCTCTGGCAGACAATCAGGCATTGACTATCATGCTGGGTCAGTGGGGACATGTATAAGCCAAAGGCCTCCATTTGTCTGGAGACTTTGTCATTGTCTCAACGTGGATTATGAACCTCCACTACAAGACACTGCACTGAATGCCAAGGAGAGATGTCCCTCTGCTTCTTGGAGCTTATCTTTGATACATGTAGAGAGTTCTGTCTGCCAAGCCACTTGGCACATTTCATCTCATTTAATCATTACAAGTCCTTGAGGAAGTGACCTTCACCCTCATTTTACCCTTGAAAGAACTGATGTAAAGAAATGTGCTGCGCTCGGATCTAGTGCTCCTGTCCTCTGAGCCTGATTGTTGGCTGCAAACTCTTCCTCCCTTGGCATTAAGACCCCTGGGCCCCAGGGTGGCTCCTAGGAGCAGAAACTATCCAAGGTTAAGTGCTCCTGCAGGAAGGCGCCTTCCTGGGTTACTCCCTAGCACTGGGAACTGGCTTATCAGGCAGCAGGCTGACAGGAAAAGGAAATAAGAGCCCAGAGGTTTTGAATATCTTGGGGGTAGAAAGGGGAAGTGGGTAGATGCCTGAAGCAAATTATGCTAACATGACAATTGTGCCTGGGGCACCCAGGAGAGTTGCCTAAGAGTTTTAAAATCTAGACAGTGACTCAAACAAAAAGTCCAACATAGGGCCAGGGATTTAGCTCAGTGGTTCCACCGCCTGCCTCACAAGCACAAGGACCCGAATTTGATCTCTGGTACAAAAAAAAAAAAAAAAAAAAGTCCAACATACCCCAAATGAGGATACATTGAAATGAAAGCCTCCTCAGAAGCAGTAAGAGGATGTGAAATTCTTAGGTGGTTTCCCTCCAAGTTGGAGGCTCCAAAGCCCACACCATTGCTAGATTTGCCTACAGAATGCAAAGTGGGCTGGGCGCTTGTCAGTTCTCAGACCCTGCAAAGAAATGCTGCACTATGGCTCCTGGGAAGCCATGTTCTTCCCAAACACCACAGTGCAGCTGCTAACAGGCCACCATATGAGTTGCCTATTCTCTAAAAGTTGCTGGACATTTTGCTTTTAAGGCCAAATATCTACCAACTCAGGTATTCAGCTGAGTGTGCTCTCTCTCTCTCTCTCTCTCTCTCTCTCTCTCTCTCTCTCTCTCTCTCTCTCTCTCTCTCTCTCTCTCTCTCTCTCCTTCTCTCTGTCTCTCTCTCTCTTTCTCTCTGTCTCTCTCTCCCCTTGAAGGTACAGGGATTGTACCTGGACACACATCTCTGGGCCGTTGGTCCCTCAGATCCACCATCCAAGGCACATGTGGCACCTGAGGCCCAGCACTGGTGGCAGCTGGCAGAAGTGGGTCCTGGACACCACTCTGCAGCCCTATTAAGAGAGCAGGGCCTTGCACATTCTGCTTAGCTCAGGCTCTGGGTATGCTTTGGCCCCTGGACAAAGGCCAAGCAGGGTCAGGGACGCCCACCATGCAGCCACTTCCAAGGCCAGATGGGAGAGAGCCACGGGTAAGGAAACGGCTAAAAGTGATGGATGATATCAGAAAGAGCACAGGATCCAGAGCTAACACTCATTGCTCTGCAATAGCAGGCAAGTTGCTTACTCTCTTACTCTCTTTCTCTCTCTCTCTCTCTCTCTCTCTCTCTCTACCTCTGAAGAAAAAGAGAAATTCCTTTAGAAGAAAATATGCTTATGTCTTTCTAACACTCATGGAATAATCACCTTGAGTCTTAGCATGTCAGAGATGAAAAAGCCATTTGAGATTACTTAGTCCAAACTCCCAACTGTGTAAACAAGACTCAAAAAAGTCAGGGACTTGCCCAGGCCACACAGCTGCTCAGCTAAAAAGCCAGAGCAGCACAGCTTCATATATGTGGCTATTTAAAGTCAAATGGATTAAAGGGAAATTCAGTTCCTTAATTGCCCTAGCCACCTTTTAAGAGCTGGGTAGCCACAGGTGGCAAGTGGCTACCATAATAGATATCACAGACTAGAACTTTCCATCATAGCAGAGAGTTGCTTTTGGCAGCTTGGACTAAAGTCCAAACTTGGACCTCAGGCATTGAAATACCTCCATCCTGGGCTCCAACCTCCTCATTTCCCACATGGACACAAGAGACTCACCAAGACTGAGGGGCAAACTTAAGCCTGGCTCCCCAGGTCTAGGACTGATGCTAATCTGCTTCACAACATAGAATTCTTATTAAAGTTGACTCATTACAGCCAGGCATGGTAGTACATACCTGTAATCTGGGAGGCTGAGGCAGGAGGGTTGCAAGTTTGAGTGCAAGCTGGGCAATTTAGAAAAACCCTGTCTCAAACTAAAATTAAAGTTTTCTTAAAGGGCTGGGTGTGTTTGCTTCAGCAGCACATATACTAAAAACAGGCTGGGGCTGTAAAGTTCAATCTCCAGATCAAGAGAAAGAAATTCTGACTCACTGTTTATGAATGGAAAAAGAAAAGCTGTTAGTCCTGCCTGTGGGAGTCCAGTGGACTTTTTGTGTTGCTACAGTGAGGAGACAGAAGTGTCTTTAGGACCTGGCTCAAGGACAGAATGTTTCATGCAGCAGACCAAACCCCCGAACAAATACATCCTATTGTTTGTCAAAAGCCCTTGGCAGTGACCTGCTCTATGAACCTACAGAGACAGCAGCCAGCCCAGGACTCTGGGTTCAGCCACAACCAACAACCTTGAGCCCACAGTCCCACACCCTTCAAGAGAGAAGCCCTGGCACTACTTGCATGGGTGACATTAACGGGAGCACACGCATAGAGGTCAGGGCTGACTCAACCAGTGTTGACCTTGGCCAAGTCCATCAAGTCCTGTCCTAGGCAAGAGAGGGTCAGACACAAGGACTGATGCCCACTCGAACACTCCCTGTGCTGACCAAGGACATTCAGCTTAGTACTTTCTAAAAGGCAGAGGAAAAAAGAAATCCAGGCCATAAAGCACTATATCACAGGTAATTCCTCATTCTGCATGAGCAGTTCTTAACATTTAGAGGATCACAAGCCCTTTAAGTGTCTGTTGAAAGCTGTGGACCTTCTCAGAAAAACACAGATATGTGTACACAAGTGCTTTGTTGTGTATATTGTTTCAAGCCATCACATGAAAGAGGAGGCCACGAGTCAGCAATGCAGAAAAATATGAGAAAACAGACTCTCCTTTTGAGCTCCCCGAAAGACACCCAGCTCAGCTGATGCCTTGAGTTTACCCCAGAAGCCCTGTGTCAGACTTGTGGCCTCCAGACCTGGAAGAAAATAAACGTGTATTGTTTGTACTCACTTCGCCAGCACATATACTAAATGTATATTGTTTTAAGCCACCAAAGAGCAATAGGAAACTAGAGCAGATGCTAGTCTATAAGGGTCCACCAAAACACAACTTCCCAAAGTAATGATTAAAAAAAAAAACTTGTACTGAAAATGCAGGCTGCTGTTCTCCATGAGCACAGGCACATGCCACCACAGGCTCCAGGGGACAGAGTCACAGCCACCAGCAGACACTGGTGAATGCTCCTGCCAACAGAAGCTGCACCTCTTACCTGCTCAGAGAAGAAAGGGCACACATCCATTCAGCTTCAAGCCACTCAGCTTCAAGCTCCTCTTCACCCCCTCTAAGGCAACCTTGCCTTCAAGACCAGAAGACATGAATGTCTTCCATACTACAAAGCTCAGGGAAGGAAAGCTTTGGAAAACCCTGTTTCTGAGGTTTTCTGAGCTCTGAGGTCAGCAGATAATGACACACCAGTTTGGGTTTCAACCATCCATCATTTGTAAAAGGGAAACATCTGCCTAGATCTCAATCACAGAATCTGGCAGGGCCCAGGGGACATGGCTCCTGTTGAAACTCCGATGGGAGGACACAGTAGATGCCACTGTAGGAGAAGGGACAGTGAATGGAGTAGAACTAGGCCCGTGTTCTTTCCCAGCACTTGTCTTTGATTGGAACAAATTAAGTTCAACAGTCAGTACAGTTGTTGTACAATTTGTCCCTTTTCCCTAACTAGTGGGAGGAGGGAGAAGGCATGCATACTTACATGTGCATAGACACACTTGTGTATGCATGGATTTGTGTGTGGATGTGTGTGTATATATATCCATGTGCACACACGGAGAACACACAGACTTCATTCTGGTTACTTGAGGTGTTTTGTGGGCAGCAAGTGTGTGCAAACATTGAAGCTCTGATTGGTTCTTCACCGTAAGTCTGAGGAAGTGTTTCCACTTGTCACCCATACAGGCTGAGCATGAGAAGACTGAACTCATTGCAGCTGTGAGAGGTGGATGGTGGAGTTGGTGGGCCCAGACCCTTCATGGTCATGTGCAAATAGAGTACGTAGTTTAAATTGCAGTTCCAAGCAGCAACAGAGACTCCCATCAAAAGAAAATCTTGCACTGCCACCCTATAACAACTCCTAAAAATAATCTCTGGTCCCCAAAGAGAAAATGCTAACGTTTTCCTATAGCCCCTAGAAGTAATCTTTTTTACCCTATGTCCATTCTGTTTTGTTTTGTTTTGTTTTTTTGGTACCAGGGATTGAACTCGGGTCCTTGCGCTTGCAAGGCAAGCGACAGAATCACTGAGCTAAATCCCTGGCCCTCATTCTGTTTTGATTTGGAATCTAAAGCTGGGAATGTTTTTAATTTATATGATTTTTTTTGTTTTGTTTTTGGTACCGGGAATCAAACACGGGTCCTTGCACTTGCGCAGCAGGCAACAAAACCACTGAGCTAAATCCCCGGCCCTATGTGATTATTATTTTACATGCAAAGCCCTCTTTCTATTGATGCCCAGAGATCATTCAGAGCCCAGGCTCCTCACACACCCCTCCAGCTCTTCCCAGGACCCTAAGAGCCTACTGGATTCTTAAAAGTCCCAATAATGCTCCAGACCTTAAATGGAGCGGGGTTCCACAGGCTCCCCTCCAGGGACCTGCATGAGAACATGAGAGCAACCCCATCGGCCAGCTCCTAAGTCCCAGGGAAAGAGGGGGCTCATCACACACACTGTGTGTGGGTAAAACTGGGAATTGAATCCAGAGCCTTTCCACTGAGCTACATCCCCAGCCCTTTTTATTGTTTATTTTTGAGAGACACGGTCTCACTAAGTTGCCCAGACTGAGCTTAGATTGCAATCCTCCTACCTCAGCCTCCCAGAGTGCTGGGATTACAGGCATGCACCCCATTCCCTGGCTTCATCATGTGTTGATATAATAAGATAGGGAGACCTGCCTGGTAAAAAATGGAGCACTCTTCTCAGTACAAAACACATGGGGAGGGCCGGGGATTTAGCTCAGTGATTCTGCCACCTGCCTCACAAGCACAAGGTCCCAAGTTCAATCCCCGATACCAAAAAAAAAAAAAAAACCCCACGGGGAGTGGGAGGACAGTGCCCAAGGCTGGACCATGTTGTGTTGAACCTTTCCAAACTGCTATCTATCCTGCAAAGGCAAATCCAGAGTGAGCCCTAATCCCAGGGGAAATCTGATGCCTTGCTAATATGGTGGGAGTCACTGAAACTGCTTTTCTGAATTCTTCCCTGTAACTCAGCTTTTAAAAGGGAAGCACATATATTTGCAGTTGTGAGTGAACAATTTCCAAAGGCTCAGTGCTTTGCCTGGCTGTAAGTAAGCCAAGGGGCACCATGTGTTTCAGCAATGACGTCTTCACCCAGGGTGGAGCGTGCGAGGCTACAGAGACTGTCACAGCGAGATTCAGCCAAACTAGGCACAAGCCATGCAGGGCATGATGCTCACATCCCCAAAATGCACAAAGATGCCAAGACACAGTCTGCCACTCAGGGGAGGAAGGGAGGACCACAAACACCTCTAGATCTAACAAGGGAACTGAGACCTCCCCTCCCCAGCAAACCTCTCTGAAGGCTCCCAGCGCAGTGCTGGTCTTTCTCTCATGTGATTCTCACATCCCTGAGGGAGGCAGAAGAGAGAAGAGGAATGGAGAACTCTTCTTTCCCCAGAGTCACGCAGTTGGTTAGGGACAAGGTCCAGAGAAGAACCACATCTGCCCCACATCTGACCCGGGGCTCTTCCCAGTCCCCACGCTTTCCCCAGAGGAAGGAAGGCTTTATGTGTTTCCTCTTGGTGAGAATAATAATAGCACCCTCTTATTGAACATGATCAGAGGGTGCTTGTCCCCAGCATTTTGTGCAGCCCTGGTTCTCATACTACTCTCTTGGGAGGACCAATCCCCAACAGTACAGATAGAGAAATGGATTCAGAGATGTTGAGTGACTTACTTACAGCCACAGAGCTACTTAGAGGTGAAACAGGTTCAAAGCCTGATCCAGTGGCCCCACAGCTCTTTGGAACAACCACAGCAAGCAGGGATGATTTATAGGCATCCTGGGTATCAGTTCTCCACTAGCCACCCCTGGCTACCCAATGAAGGAAAGCAGGAAGGATACCTCATTGCCACGTTGCTGCCATCGATCACTATGGGGCGCAGAGAACTGGCTGGGTCACTGCAGTCCTCTTCCAGAGCTGGCCCCAGGCCCCGCCAGGTAGAGTCTGGGGCCCCACAGGAGCCCCTGGGAACAAGTAGGGGCCCAGTGCTGCTGTCTGGGCCCTCCTGAGCTGCAGGTCGACTGCCTGTCCTGATCAGCTCCTGCAGCACGTCATTGACCAGGGCGCTGTCACCCAGCTTGTCCAGCACCCTGACCACATCCTCCTGGCTGTAGCCCAGCTTCTGGAAGAACTCCATCTTGCTCGGGCGCTCCATACTGTGCCAGCCAGCACCTTGTGCGGGTCCTGCCCCTGGCTTCCTCCTGGCAGATCCCCACAGGCATGAGCTGAAGGAAAAACAATGTCCATCAGGTGTTTTCTATGCCATGTGGCAGCCAAGCTGCCAGGTGACTGAGGGCAAGATGTGTACGTGCTCCCTCCCTTCGGCTTTATCAGTCAGGAAATCACATCAAGCCTGGTCCCCTTGGGGATTTTCAGTTGCTCAGTGTGGTTGGGGAGCTGCAGATGAAATCAGAGTCCTTGTGCTAGTGCACTCTCAAAGGCCTTTGCCCCAACGTTCCTGTGCAGGGTTCACCAACCACACCCCAAGGTGGCAGGTGCTGAGCAGGGCACCCAGCACTCAGGACAGGCCAAGGAAATGTGCCTGAGGCTCTGCTAGGGCCTGAATAGTGGCCCTCAGATTTCTGTGTTGAAGTTGTTAACCCCAGGACCTCTCGGCAAGATTGTACTTGGAGCCAGGACCTTTAAAACAAGGTCATTAACATTGGCCCTTGTCCAGTGACTAGTGTCCTTAAAGGAAGAAGAAATTTGGACACAGAGAGGGATGAACATTTGAAGTCACAGGAAGACCAGATTTGACCCTTCTTCTCGGGCATCACTGCCTGGGCTACATTTGTATGGTGATGGGGTGGCAGAGGGGACTAATATTCCTATTTTTGGAAAATAGTTATTTCTCATGGTATTTTCAGAAGGCACAGATGACTAAACTAATATGAATACTTGGGACAAGTTGATCTCTCTTCCCCCCACAAAGATCTACATTTTTCAAAAACATTTTAAATACAATCATAATCATGAAAATATATTTACTGTGAAAAATTCAAACAATGCAAGAGTACAAAGAACACTGCAGACCCTGACTCCCCAGGGCCTCCCCTGCTAACTCTGCTAACTGCTTGCATGTCTCCAATGCTTTTACACATTTAACTTGAAAGTTAATAGATACAAACAAATACAGTTTTAGGATTGTTTGGTTTGATTTTTAAATAAATGATGCCACACTGGACATATTGTTTGGCAACTTACTTTTCTTATTAAAAATGCATTTTGGAAAATTTTTCCAGCCCAGTTTACCTGTTCTGCTGCCCATGGTATCCCCCAGAATCTGGAACAGCCCTGGCATAGATTAATTCCAATGTCTATTTGTTCAGGGATGGATGGATGGATGGATGGATGGTGCTTTCCATAGCTTAGTCATATGCCAATGGGTAGAAACTTAAGTTGTCTTTCATTGTTCTTTGTTAGAAATCCTCCTTGTTAGGGGCTGGGGATTTAGCTTAGTGGTTTTGCTGCCTGCTGTGCAAGCGCAAGGACCCGATTTCGATCACCAGTACCAAAAAAAAAAAATCCTCCTCGTTGAAGATTTTTGCACGTTTCCTTCACCCCATCCTTTTCTCAGCATTGCTGGTTCTTCACCTGTTCGTCCTACTCTTCCTTCCAAATCTTTTGCAGCATTCATGTCAGTGCAGGTTCCCACTTGGCCTTAGTATTCTCTCGCAGGCCTCTTCCTGTAGTACAGGGGCTGGGACAGAGCTAGTGAGGTAGAGGTCGGGCAGGTGGAGGGCACTTCACAACCAACCTCTGGATAGAGGCCTCTGCTACATGCCTCACTTGCTCATTTCCCACTCAGCCTCAGTGCAGGACAGTGCTACCACCGCTGAAACAGCAGACCACACTCTGACTCATTATTTTCAATTTTAAAATTATGGACTGACTCTTCTTGAAATTCTGTGCTCCTTCAAGCTATATAGCTTGGCCTGCTTTGCCTCCTACATCTCTCCAGCTCTTTCCTCTGCTCCCTCCTTCAGTGTGGAGGTCCTACAGCCCCTATATGACCACCTACTGAGCACCAGCACACACACAGCTATAAACCACGCCACACATGCCACGCACATACACACTATGTAAACAAAGTGCTGTGGGAATTCAGAATGCTGGCATTCAACAGGCACCGTTAAGTGTCTACTTCAATGGTTCTCACAGGGAGCTCCAGGGAACCCTGGGGAACCTCAAGATTTTTTCAGGGAATCCATGAGGTAAAAACTATAATAATTCATAATTTCAAAATAATAATTTCAATAACAATTTCATAATAATGCTAAGATATAATTTATTTCATTCTCCTCCTCTCATGAGTATACCATGGAATAGTCCAGAGACTATCTGTCCTGTGATATTGCTATGGTTTAAATGCAGAAGCAGCTATGAGAATCCAGCTGTCTTCTATGAAACTAGATGTTAAAGAGATTTGAAAAAAATTAATGCCATTTTTCATACTATTTTTTTTGTTTTGTTTTGAAAGTTAAGAATTCTCATAAAGGTGTAATTGGCTTATTGCTTTTTAAAAATAAATGGATTTATTTTCTATTTCTTAGTTTTAGTTTCCAACAAAGTATATTTCAAGAAGTAGATATAACCCTCAGAAACAAAAGCTCTTGGAGGACCTTCAAAATATTTAAGGACACAGAGGGGCTCTGAAACCATAAAGTTTCTTCTTAAATCAAGAGCCATTCCAACAAGTATTTCCACGGAGATGGGTCCATGTAGTTGGCCTTAGATGTGTGGCCATTCACCAAGGCCCCATCCAGAAAGCCCAGTGTTTTTCCTCCTCTCAGCCTATCCCTCTCAACCCCTGTCTCCCACAATTCACCTGCTTCCCCGCAAGCCTTGCTCCAGCCTTCTTCATCCCATACCCAATACACCACAGCCTCCACGGGGCCCCATTCTTCAAATCCATCTGCTTGTAACTGACTTGCAGTCAGAATCATATTTCTAACATAGGCTGACACAAGTATGAGGTATGGTCAAGAAATACAGTGAATGTCTTGTTTTTGTTTGTTCTTGTTATAGTAAAAGGCACATTGCCATTGATCCTTCTTAAAATATGCCCCCTTGCTTTAAGCACACTATCCTACCATTCTTGCACTTTCTGAAGCATTTCTGGAAGTCTTCTTTCCTGAGTGTCTCTAGTTGCACTGTCCTGGCTCCTCAATGTTCTGAATCAATCCGAAATGTTTATTTTTCATGGTCATTTTCACTTTGGTGAGGAGCCAGAAATCGCAAGCTATCAAATGTGGTGAATAGGTGGATGAGAGCACACTGAAATGCTTTTATGAGCCTGGCTTTCTGTTGGACAGCATTTGGCAACAGCATAGCTTTGATCACACCTCAGAAATACACTCACAAAAGAGAATTTCTTTAGAACGTGGCAAGAATGATGAGATAAATGTGCTCAGAGCGGGGAGAGGGTATTTTGAAGGGGACTAATGTGTATTTTACTGTAATAAACTTTTACAATTTAAATACTTATCATTACTTTGATCACACTTAGAAGTACACTCTGCCGACTCTGTTGACTACAAGAAAGACTCCATGTTCTGATCAACTGTGTCATGCTATAACTCTGACCTTGTCCACCTCACTCACCAACCACCAGTGGCCCACCCAGCCCTTCTCTGAACCCACAATGTAACTCTCCCTGATCCCTAAGCATTCCAGAATATTCTCAGCCACATGCTTTTCTCTTTACTTGGAATTCTCTTTTTGGCTTGGCAAACCAAGATTCAACTCATATGTCACTCAAAGACTTCCATCCCTCCAAAAGAACTTCCATGTTCCTCACCCTATACAGAGTACAGGGCAAAACTTCCACATGAGAGCGGAAGCCTCACCTTCAGGCCTGATCTACCTCCCATCTCTTGGTCAGGTGCCTCTGGTCCAGTCTGTCCTTCTCTCTGTACCTAGTGACAGTCTCTCTCTCAGGGTGGTTGTCCTTCTGGGCTGGGGTCTAGCTTCAGACCAAACTCCACAGAAGAAGATGATGCTCATCCAGCCTGACAGACCAGCCATAAGAGGTCACTCACTGTCCTTAAAGGCCTTTACTCAGGTTCTTTCCCCAGCCCAGAGCACCTGTCCTCTAATCAGGCTAAGCCCCCGGTCACATCCTCCAAAAAGCCTTCCCAAGCCCCGTGGCCCCATCCACCTCCACCTGTGCTGTGGCACTTATTCTGCTTTGGAAGAGAGAAAAGAGAAGAGCAGAAAGATTAACAGATGACAGAAATATAGAAGTTTATATTTGTGGTGCTCTTCGTGGTTTTACATAGAAATTTCTATTTAAATTTCCTATTATTCCTGGTGGGATGATGGGGTAAATATAAGGCCTCTCTTCACAAATGAGGAAACTGAGGCTCAGGGTGATACAGAGTAAAGGTTATATAGCTAGTAAATAGTAGAATGACAATGAGTAGGTCCTGAAAATAATTCTATCACTCTGAGTTGCACTCAGGCCCAATACAGTAACTTGTTATTGCAGAAATGAAAAAAAAAAAAATACAAGTAGGTCAGTCAACTTTTCTTTACTCACAGAGGAACAGGTATGAGAAGAATCTGTGTTTATTTTGTAACTCTGCATTTGAGTGACAGAAATGGAAACATTTCCATAATGAGAAAACTGGGATTTTTGACCTGGGTGGGCAGGCAGAGTAGCCATGTGAAGCCCTCATCCATGGCTGCAGCTTTCCACAGAGCCCACCAGTTAGACCCAGGGCTCCTTTCCTGTGGGACTTTCAAAAGTTTTATGTGGGACAAAATGGCTGCTTTTACATAAAATTAACAGAAAGAATTCATCTTCTTCAGAGGCTTTTTTTCCCCTTGAAGCTTTAAAACAAAACTTCATTTCCTTTTTTAAAAAAGTTGTTTTTTCTAAGTAAAGGAGATTTTAGCTGGCAGTGGGGAGGTCTGCACTCAGGAACCAACCTGGGTCTTTGGGTGACAGCCCTCCCCTGGGATGTGATGCTCCTTGGGCTGCACCACCCCAGCTGCTGGTTTGCTTTTCTATTTTTAAGACCTGAAAATCTAAACAACCTCATCTCAGTTTTCTTCCTCAATCTTGACTGGAACTCACAAAGTGCACAGAAGATTAATAATAAAATCTTCACAGTTGCCTCATGAGCTCTTGAAATAGTCAGCCTCCCAACACTGTCTTCCCTAGTTGTTAGTAGATAAGGCAACCAGACTTCGGGCGTGTGCTCTGGTAGAATCCAAAGTCAGAGACAGCCCAATAGGACAGAAACAGGGAAGGAGGTTTGGGGGGCTTCATAGATAGAACAAGGGGAATCAGGTCAGATCTGTTTCTTCTAGCATCAACCAACCAGGTTGAGGACCCCAGGCCAAAGGTCTGTAGCCTCTGACCAGAAGACACCCTGAGGAAATCAAAGAAAATATGAATGAGAATAAAAGGAAAAGGATAAGACAAAGAGAACCAGTGGCCCCTCTGTGTACCGTATTTTGTAATTATAAGACACTTCCTTCTATATTTTGTATGGAAACTCCAGTGTCCCTGGGAGGAGCAAAACACCACCTCATTCTTCATGTTGCAGTTTCTCTGAGGAAACTGAGGAAAAGAGAGCCTTTGGTGATTTACCTAGTGTCCTGCAGCAAGTAAGTAGGAGATACCAGACTGCAAAGGGCCACAATTCCCATCAACCTTGCTAAGAGGTGACCCCTAGCTATGGCCTGCTGCCACGAAGCCACAGCTCAGGGCCCAAATGAGTATATTCAGCATCTTACCCTTGTCCCCCAAGACCCTCCCAAGTGGCCTCTGCCAGCTGCATAGAAATCCATGATATCATGGCTGCCAGAATTCACCCACTAGGATGAGAAGGTCAGCCTGGCCCCAGTTTCTCAACAGAGTTTAAGTTTTGCGGTTTAGCTCAGATCTCCAGGCCCCCAGTGGACTTGTCAGTTAAATTTTGAGGAAGTCAAAGAGAAGCAAAGATTTCAGCCCATAAGATTGGCATGTAGGTGGGGGTGGGAGTCTGGGCTTTTTTTAAAAGACAATTTTTTTAAAAAATTTTTAAATTGTGATTAAATATAAAATTTACCATTTTAACCATTTTTAAGTATACGTTTCCATAACATTAAGTCCATTCACATGTTGGACAATGATTCCCATCATCCATCTCCAGAACCCCTTTCATCTTGCAAAACTAAAACTCTACTCACTAAACACTGTCCCCCCTCCCCGTCCCCAACCCTGCAACCTCCACTCCAGCCCCTGGCCACCAGCATTCTACTGTCTGTGAATTTGACCCCTCCAGATACTTGTCCTTTTGTCATGGTTTATTTCACTTAACATAATATCTTCAAGGTTCATCCATGTTGCCGCATGTGTCAGAATTTCCTTCCTTTTTGAGGTTGAATAACACAGAGTGTATATAGCACACATTGTATTTATCCATTCACCCATTCACCGTCAATGGACACCTCGGTTGTTTCCACCTTTTGGCCACTGCTATAATGCTATGAGCATCAATGTGACAGCCTGGCCATTTGTTTTCTCCATAAACTTGTCCTTGGTTCTTCTATACCTGTACCTTCTGTACAGCTATATGTCATATGGGTATTTGCAGCCCTGAAACACATTCCAGAACAACACTCCTATATTCTGCATCCCAATCTATTCCTGTGTCAGATGCTGGTACTCTGAGGGTGGTATCATCTGGCCTGGGAGAAAAATACATAATCTTGGGGAGGCAAAGCTAAGGTTTCTAATAACTACAGGAAATTAGCAAAAATTATGCTTACCACAATCAGATTTAGGAGTTTAATTTGTTCATCAGCCCACTTGAAGCTCACAGAGCCCTCTTCTAGAAACATGGTATTTGAGGCCACTGCCCAGAGTCCCTGATCTGCATTCACCCAAGAAACTAGCTCTCAACAAACCATTATCTAGACATTTTGTGAGCTCTGTGACAGAGTAAAATGAGTTGTGTTCCTTTATAACTTTAAAATGCCTGCAAACATCATGGCAGAAGGTTTTACTTAAACTGAAGAGCTTAATCTTTGCCCCATAAAATCCTTGCTAAAACTGAACATGGATGGCCCCTCAAGGAAATTAAAGATACTTACCTTATTTTTCAACTTGAGCACTTAGAATTTCAGGTGTGAGAAGTCAGATTGTTCAGGACAATACTCACCCAAGGACCGCTCCCCAACCGGCCCTTCTCCCACCCCACCCCAAGGCTCGGTCTCTTCCCCCTGCCCCTTGACTGAAGTCTGCACACTGTCTGCCATGTTCACTGATGGCCTGGGCACACACACTCACCAGCAGGGTGTGTTCTTCTGGTTTTCCCAATGGACGCTGCCCCAGCTGCCCCACAGCCTCCACGTTGATTCCGGGAGTCCAGTCACCCAGGGGTCCCTGGAGTCAGGAGAGGGCAGCCAGTCTGGGCCACACCACTGCTGGAAGCCACTTCACGCCAATGCTCCACTTCCTGTATGAGAAGTCACGTTCAGCTGCAAAGGTGGTTAGGCTTTGAGCTGGTTAAAGGGGAAAGGAAGAAAGCAATCAAAAGAGGGAGGAGAAGTTTGTTTTTGCCTCAGCGTGAGTCACCGAATCAAAGTTTAACAGCCACATGCAAAATGAACTCTCTGGAAGATAGCAGCAGGAGCCACTACACAGGAAATCCAGGAGAGGGCAAAAGGAAAAGGGCAAGAAGAATCTGAAGGTGAGAACTGCAGTTCCAAGTCCCTACTGTTGCCTGTGCTTTGTGAAGAGTGTCTGACCCTAGATGAACCTCAGGGAGGGAGAACTCACAGATAAACATAATGACAGCTTGCTGGGGGGGAAGATGTAGGGCCAAGGGAGAGAACAGGAATGGCTATGGGGTGCACAGGGGACATGAGCCTGGAGAAGGATGCTGTTTCTTCTTTCACAAAGAGAGGAGCCCCAAATCAATCATGAAATCCTTTGGAGCAGAAGCTTGGACATAGGGATAACATGACCCTATGGTTCTCACCGCCCTCCGTGGAGTGGACAGTGCTTCTCTCTCCCTGGGTCAGGGGAATTCTGACCCAGGCCCACCCAACCACAGCATTCTGCATGCTGTCTGGCTTGCTGCCAGCCTCAGCAAGCGCAGACAGCAGATGCAGAGCTCAGGATTTATTTCCTGAATTTGAGGATGCCCATCAGTGATCAGAATAAGAGGGAAAAGTACAACCAAACCACACAGCCACCCACCTCCCAACAAATATCTCTCACAGCAACTTCCCCAAGGACACAGACATCCAATGGTTACACTAGATTTACAACCTGGGAGTTGGCACTAACGAAATGAGTATGGCAAAAATTAGCAGGGGTGGTGGCGCACACACATCTGTTATCCTAGCACTCTGGATACCAAGTTCAGGGCCAGCCCAGAGTATAGTGAATTCAAGGCCTATCCTAGACTACAAGTGAGACCCTGTCTCAAAAATCAACAACAAACAAAAAGAATAGCACAAATTAGTTGGAATCTGTTGCCCCACTTTATTTATTCCCTACTTGTCTCTCAAAGAAGATTTGAAGCAGCCTAGAATAGTGAAATATACATAAAATGGCTTTGTTGAAATAAACCTTAAATGCTCAATCGTAAATCACAGAAGAAAAAGGAATATTGTCTGAGAAAGCTAGATTAAAATAGTTACTATGTTGGAACACCAGTTCTGGTTTTGGATTTCTTGGCATCAAAATGGATTTTCTAATAACTGACATTTGTTTAATGCCTACAATGTATATAATATGTCATATCAAAGTGTCCCAGGGAAAATTAAGATGAGGTCACTGGGATTCAGACAGGGTAATTAAGCTGCCCAAGTTCACTCAGCAAATGGCTGAGTCCGGGCTGAAACCCAAGACAACTGGGCCCTAAACTATGCTTTGTTTGTTTTTTTTGAGATAAGGTCTCACTATGTAGTTCAGGCTGGCCTTGAACTATGCAGCCCAGGCTGCTCTTGAATTCACTATGTAGCCCAGGCTGGCCTCAAACTCATGGCGATCCTCCTGCCTCAGTCTCCAAGGTGCTGCAATTATAGGTATGTGCCACCACACCCAGCCCAAAGCATGCTGTTTATACAACTACAAGCATCCTCTATACTCTGAAATCGCTAAGAAAGCATGCAAGATTTCAAGAGATATTCCTCAGACAAAGGACTACTATCTAGAATATATAAAGAACTCAAAAAAAATCAGACCTCCCAAATTTAAAGACCCAATCCAAAAATGGGCATCTGAAATGAACGGACATTTCTCAGACAAAGAAATAAAAGCAGCCAATAAACATATGAAAACATGTTCAACATCACTGATCATTTGAGAGATGCAGATGAAAACAACACTGAGATTCCACCTCATCCCAGAAAGAATAGCTGCTATCAAGAAATCAACCAATAGCAAATGCTGGCGGGGTTGGGGAGAAAGGAACCCTTCTCCATTGTTGGTGGGAGTGCAGACTGGTGCAACCACTGTGGAAATCAATATGGAGATACCTCAAAAAACTAGGATTAAAGGTCTCATTTGACCCATTTATTCCCCTGCTGGGTATCTTCCCAAAAGAATTAAAAGAATCATACCACATTGATATATGCGCACCCATGTTTATAGTGGCACAGTTTGTAATAGCTAAAACTTGGAAACAGCCCAAGTGCCCATCAACTGGAGACTGGATAAAGATGTGGATTTTTTTCATAAAATGGAGTACTACTCAGCTTTAAAGAACGAGAAACTAGAGACATTTATAGCTAAATGGGTGCACATTGAGGCCAAGTGAAATAAAAAGGACAAACATGTATAAATACCGAATAGTTTCTCTAGTGTAAAAAACTAAAAGTGTAAATAAGGATCAAAATGTATAATTGATAAGAAATAGAAAGAAAAGGTCTAAAGGAGTAGGGGAAGTGGGAGGGGTAGGGGAAAGGAAAGAAGGGAAAAGAAAAAAACATGAGAAAAGGAAAAAATAGAAACAAAGACTTTGTAAAAAGGGAAGGGTGGAGGGGGTGAAGGGAGGGCAGGGGAGTGGAGAAAAATAAGAACCAAGATACATCATGTAAAGGTACAAGATCCCAATGATGAATGTAACTGTATTGTATACCTAAAATGTACCAATAAACTTAATAAAAAAAAAAAGATTTCAAGAGAAATAAATCTTGTTCTGGTATTTTAGAGAAAACTAAATCCTAATGTTGAGTGTCAAAGAAGACAGTATCTTCAGCTCTGGTCCCATCAATGATGCCAAGATGGTCTCAAATGCCCACTCTTCCCTGGAAACCATGGAAGAAGCTGAGGGTATAACCTTATACCTCAGCTTAGGGTGGGCATTTCTGTAGGGAATGAGCCAATGCTGTTCAAGAGCCTTGTTCTCTGATTGTCTACCTGAACAAAACAGCAGAACCTACCAACACACTGCCAAGGGGCTCCTCGGACAATCTTTCCAAACACCAGAGCAGTGAGCCACAATTCTTTAAAGTACAGGACAGCAACCTGTCAAAGAAGAAATCCTTTGAGGAGATTGCCAAGTGCAATTGCCCTGTGCACATAATAAAAAGATGAGCCTAGCCCATGGAAATTAAGGATCCTGTTTTCAAACCCAGGCAAACAGCACCTCTGCCCAGGACAGGGACCAATAGGGAGGCCCCAAGTGTTGCTCAAAAACAATGGTGGGACCTACTCAATTATCAGACGAGTTCGTATTTGGTGGAGGCCCCCAAAATTCTGTGTATTAATTCCTGGAGACGTAATTTCAACTAGAAAACTTATCACTCAGTTGTCTCCTTTAAAAAAAAGAACCACCAGACAGTCCCTTTACAGTATCTGATTTAGAGAAACCTCATCTGGATTCCCCCACAGTAAATGACTCAGCGACCATGACTCTGGCAGGTACCCAAAAAGGATTAAGCCAAGGCTTAGGCTGCTTGTTGCCCACTTGAATGAGAAATAAGGGCTGCCAATTTCACTTCCCCCTAAACTAGGCTCTGCCCAGGAGAGGTTAAGGAAAGCAACAGCTCCCTCTGGCAGTGGTAGTTAGACCCGGGCTCTACTCTCCCACATGGTGTTGGAGTCCTGAGAAAATAGTGGGCAGCAAGCCCAGCACATTTCCCTCTCAGGCCAGTTTTAAACTTGGCATAGATCTGCCAAGGCTATTTTTGCCTACTCTGGCCCTAGCGGGGAGACAGAGGTCTGTACTTTCAGGAAGTGGGCCGGAGGTGCTGAGACTAGATCGTAAGCATGTGGCTAGAGATCTTCACCACAGAAGAAGGCCCAGATGTCCAGATAGGTAGCATGTGCCAGAGAGCCTGGAAACCCATGGATGGAGCAGGCCAGGACCTACCTCCTGGCTTGGCTGCCTCCCCTCTACAGCATCAGTGGACACCACAGTCTGTGTTATGTAATCTGTTTCCTCGATGAGCTAAAACAGTATGGTTATTTGCAGAGGTGACAAGGACACACAGATTCAGCCCTAATTGCAGCCCAGCTCTCCATTAATGTAGCCCCAGAGGTGGCGGGGGCGGGGGGGGGTTCCCATTTCTTTATATCCTGCCAACATCACGGTTTTGAGACTCTGCTTTTTGCCAATCTGATGTGTGAGGAGGGGAGAAATATATATCATGTTTATTTTAATTTTCATTTCCTTGGCTACTGAGTGAAATGAAGCATTATTTGATATAGTTATTGGCCATGAGGTTTCCCCCTTTTTTCTTCCATTCCCCATCTTCCTATTGTGTAGTTTTTCCTTTTTGATTTGTTTTAGCTTTTTTATGCTCTTTATACTAAGTCCTAAGCTCCCAGTCTAACAGACGTCTTTTAATCTTGTATGTATGTTTTAAGACCTACAGATATTTTTACTTTCATATAGTCAAAATTATTGACTTCCCCTTCATAATTTGTATTTTTCCAACCTTACTTAAGAAGTCCTTCCCTATCTTGAGATTGAAAAGGCACTTTCCAAAAAAAAAAAAAGAAAAGGCATTTTCCTATATTTTCTCTAAAGTTGTACAGTTTTATTTGTTATAATCATGTCTTTAATCATGATATAGAGTTTATTTTGATGGATGGTCAGCGAAAGAATCTAAGCTTATTACTTTACCATAGTCAGGTTGGAGTCATCAGCTGGAAGCCAGACTGCTCTGCTATTATTAGCTGTGTAACCTCAAGCTGATTATCTACCCTCTGCATGCTTCAATTTCCTTATGTGTAAAATGGGGGCAATAATTTCATCTACCTGGTAACGATATTGTGAGAATGAAATCAATGCATGTAACTTGCTTAGAACAGTACCTGGTACATCCCAGGGACTCAATAGATGGCTGTTAGCATTTTGAGCAGGGCTTTAATGAAGATAGGATTACTAGAATTTATGTGGTAAAGTTTAGCACCCTAGAGACACTGAAAACTTGTCAGAGGGCTGTAGAGATGAGCAAAACAACCCTCCTAGTCCTCAGTAAGAACGTGTGCACCCCACAATGCTCATAGAGAAACCAAGGGGGAACAGTTGTCACTGTTAT